TTTTTTTTTTTTTAGCAATTACGTTATTTTTGGGTCAATTTTTGTATATTTTAAAATTAATTTCTTTATAATTAGGTCAAGAATAAATTATTCATACTTAAATTTAAAAAGTTTATAAAGAATATTTTTATTAATATTTTAAAATTTTATTTTTTTAATTGATTATAAATTTAAAAGTGAAGAAATTCAAACTTTAATATTATAATTAAATAATACACCTTACAGTTTGACATATAATCATCGGACCATGAGATCAGGTGCAAAACTTTATATATTTATGCTTGCAATGAAGGTAACCGCATACCAATCTTTCCTTCTTTAAAAAATTAAATTTTAATCAACAAAATAAAAAAAAAATTCATTTGATAACTAAGTCACAAGCCTTAAGTTTGTATCAAACTTTCCTCACAATGCTCTTCTGCTTCAAATTTGCCACCTTCCTGCTATACGTACGCCAGTTGGACTGGACCCTGTGATGTGATGACCCTTAAACTGTGCACATATTTTTAACTAATTACAACGTACACCCAAATTAATCGACGAGAGACTTGTGATTTGGTTACCTACGCTTATCAGCTACAGCGGTGACGTTGATGCGCATAAGGCATTAATAACCTACAAAGATAGGTTCTAGTTGAAGTTGTGTAGTTATAATCAAGTGCTTGAGAAAAACAGAAATCTTTAAAACGATGGTTACCAGAACTAATAATTTTGGACGGTGAAATCGCAAGCGTATCAAGGGACTGTTTGGTAGAGATTTTTTTTTCAATTTATTTGTAAGCTTTCTTCTTCCTTTTTTCATAAGTTTGAAAAATTTTTAAATGCAATACTTCTTTTTTATCATTTAAAATGTTCATAAATAAGTTTTACAGATATTTCCTTAAAAAAAAAAAAAAGAATTTCAACTTAAGAAAGAAAAAAATTGCAATTACTATCAGCAAATTGAAAGAAGTCCCGAGAAACCGAACCAGGCTTTAGTTTTTTTAATTTTTATTTTTATAAGTAATTAACGTGCTTTAGTTTAAGACTTTAAGCCAACCTTCTTAACCACCTAACCTGGTAGCTTTTTTTTTTTTTTTTTTTGACTTTAAGCCAACCTTCTTAACCACCTAACCTGGTAGCTTTTTTTTTTTTTTTTGGACAAGGTCAATGATTAGTAAATTAGTTTTATTAGTTGTTAGTAATTAAAAATTTAATTTTCAAATCTAATAAACATCTCACTTCTCTCAATGAGACATGCGGCTCATCGAACTACTTGGTGAAATTCGTGGGTAGTTCTTTCTTTTCCTCTTTTGTTTACATCTATAGTTACTGTGTCATTGTATATATATGTTTTCTATTCTAAATTTAATTTTATATATAATTTTTTAAATGATACATTTGAGTGGTTAAAAATTTAATATTTTAATTTACTTAAAAATTTTAAATTTAAATGTTGTGATTAATGAAAAGATATAAAGGAATGGGATGATTATCTTGTACCATGTCATTCATTATATATGATATAAAAAATTGATTATATTAATTTTGTCAATTAAATTTGTTTTTCAATTTTTATTTTTTTTTTAAATTTCAACATGAAGATAAACAAACAGGCGCGGAAAGAATCGTGTTGCAAAGTGCACGGCACTTGCAGTTGAAAGGAGATGAGCCCAATCTGATATAGAGGCCGGGCCCACGTCAGCTTGACCAGGTGTTGCCAACGTGGCAGTGGAGCCCATGAAATTTAAATGTGGGGGCTCCATCCAAAAGTAAGAGAATGTAGTGAACCGGACCGGACCGGACCTTAGAAGCCGTCGGTTTAAATTTTCAACTACTCGAACGATGTTTTTAAGGTGTTTCTCTATTTATTGCATCTCTCTAGGCATGGACTAGGCAGCTACATCTTCAATTAATCTCCTCTTTAATTCTCTTTAACTCTTTGGGTTGATTAATTAACCTTAATATCAACTCATCTCCAGAACGTTCTAGGCCTAATTAACGTAGTACGTTTTATTTTAGTAAACTTCCTCTACATAAATTTACTTATCATATTTTGACTCTATATAATTTTAAAAAAGGTTTTTATATAAAGGGTGAAAATTAAAAGATCTATTAAAATGGTTTATATATATAGTAATAAAGTAAGTGGTTTAACTTTACAAAAAGAGATGAAAATAGAATTTATATTAGTTCAAACATATGAGAAAATCTTTTATATTTAAAAATTTAGCTAATATCTCTAAAAGCCTGTCCTTACTAAAATGTTTTTTTAGGGTTTATTTATGCTAACTTGTAAAGTAAGATTCTTAAAATTTGTCTTGGTTTTTATAATTTTGACTGGAGTAATTTTTTCAACCAAATGAGCCATAAGAGAGAGACTTTTGATCCAAATATTATATTCTTTTTTTTTTCTTTTCAAAGTTAAACTATCTACAATAAGAATTAATAAAATATTAACTAAGCAATTAATTAGAGGATAAACAAAAAAAAAGAAGCAATGGTGAACTCATGAAACTCTTACTAGGCAATTATTTTAGATATTTGTCTTTTATGATAAATTTTAACAATTTATGATAAAAAAATAAATTATCAAAATTTTATATTAATATGTGTAAGCCAAACATGTTCTTCACTGTTTATAAAAGTAGATGGGATTTTAGAAGTTTTGATTTCCAATTGATTTCCCATGTTATGTCATATGAAAAACATGCTAAAATATTGAATCCATTAATAGAACTATGAAAATGAATGAGAAAAATGAAAATTTGATTGAAAAAACAAGAATTGTCCAGGATTCCAAGGACTAAATTAAAAGGAACCACCAACCCAACTGTTGCTGCAAAATGTCTGGACAATGTAGGGACCCTCATTTAGATCTTAGACACTAGAAACACTAGAATGGGCGATTTCTTGATCAAATTTAATGCACTTAATCCATGTATTCATGTCATTCTTGTGGTCCTCCCAACCCCCAAATGCTCATGACAATGTACTTCCCTTCATCACTTTTTTCCTCCTTTTCTTCTTTCGTTAGATTTTTTTTTTACCTTTAAAAAATTTGCATGAACACTTTAAACACAACAATTTGCCTTCAAAATTATTTATTCCCCCATCTCTTATTAATGCTGCAAAGGCCAGTAATAATATTCATCTTGGGTTGATTTAAGTCGCCTCAATATATGTTTTTCAAGAACAAATGAGCTGTAAATATAATTATATTTTAGTTGAAAATTTCTAAAAACTAAGTCTTATGTTTGATTTTTTTTTTTTATTTTTTAATAGTAATAAAATAATATAGAAACAGAATACATTACAACTTTAAAAGTGATTATAATTTGGAATTGTATAAATTTTTTTATTATTGAGTCTAAGTCTAAATTCAAATTTTAATTTCAAGAGGCCCTTTTCTAGACAATACATCGTTTCTTGGATGAAAAACAGGAGTAGGTTGACATCAAAATAATAATAAGGGTAGCTAGCCTCACCCAACAGCATTGATAACCTTTATTTCTAGGAACTGCCGATCCAAAAAAAAATAATATATTATTTGTAATTTCACATAAATCAACAACAATTAACAGTCTAATAAGCAAACATCAATTTGACATTTAACAACAATTAATAATCTAATAATCAAACATCAATTTAACATTTAT